CAGGGTGAGCAGTAAAGCAGAAAATGGGAAAGGAAGGAATGAGCAACAGGAAAATAATACAATGACAGGAATAAGTCAATACCTTTCAGTAATAATTCTCAGTGTGAATGGTCTGAATTCTCCAGTCAAAATACAAGACTGGTAGAATGAATCAAAAAACAAAACCAAATGGTATGCAGCATACAAGGAATTTAATCCAAAAAGTAATACATGGATAAAAATCAAAGGGTAGCAAAAACTATTCCACAGAACAAGATCTCTGAAAAACAGGAATAGCTGGCTGTGGTGATGAATGCCTGTAATCCCAGCACTTGGGAAACAGAGGCAGAAGGACTTTCAAAAGTTTGAGGCCAGCCTGGCCTACCTAGTAAGTTCAAGGCTAGTCTAATCTGTATAATGAGACCCTGTCTCAAAAACAAAACAAAACAAAAAATGGATAATGCCAGTAACACATACTGGAACCTATGGGACACAATAAAAGCAGTCCTAAGTGGGAAGTTTGTAGTGCTGAATTCCCATACTGAAGAGGAATTTAAAATTTTAAGTAAAAGCCTGCCGAGAATGCCTGCCAAAGCCAAGACATATCTGAATAAGCCTGATAACAAAGCATTCCTTCCCTGTCTTGTGTAACCTGTGCTCGTTTAACTAATGGCTTTGCAGTGTAATCTGAGATGTTCAAACTTCCTTGGCAATTCACAGTGACACCCAACCCTCCAATTACAATGAGCCAAGTCTGCTTCTGTACTTCCCGCTTGCTCTCCCTATAAAAGCCCCAAGACCTGGCCTTTGGGGGCTTTGACTCTTTGGGAGTGATCCTAGTCAGGCTCACCAGTTTAATAAATTGCTGTCTTCTAGACTTCCTCGGTGCCATGTCTTCCTGCATCCGGTTCCCTACTGTATCAATACCAGAGAAACAGAGCAAGCTCAGATAAATAATTGAACAATGTACCTCAAGGTCCTAGAAAAAAAAGAACAATCCAAATCCAAAGCCAGTATAAGGAAGAAAATTACAAAGATCAGAGGAGAAATTAATGAGATTGAAACTAAAAAAAAATCAAGGAAAGAGCTAGTTCTTTGAAAGAATAAAGAGACAAAACTCTTAGCCAATCTTACCCAAAAAGGGAGAAAAAAAGACCCATAACAATGCAATTGGAAATGACAAAGGTGAAATCACAACAGACTCGAATGAAATCCAGATTATTAGTAGCTACTTTGAGAAACTGTATGCTAATAAAACAGAGAATTTAGAAGAAATGAGTAGATTCCTAGAAAAGTGGATTATCAAAACTGAACCAAGAAGATGTAAAAACCATGAATAATTTAGTATCAGGCAATGAGATTGAAGAAACAATAAAACTACCAACCAAGGAAAGCCCCAGACCCAATGGATTCACTATTGAATTCTACAAGAACTTTAGGGAAGATCTAATCCCATGACATGCATATCTCAGTTCATCTGTTTGCAAAAAATTCAGTTCATGAACAGAAGCATTTGGCAAAATTTTTCTTCTAGCACCCTGGTTCAGACAGAGCTGACTCCACCGTTTCCTCCAGAACACTGGGCCTTCCTGGCTGGCTGTGTCTCTGGTACCTGAGAATCCCGACTCTCTGCTCTTTCTGTCCCCAGGCTGTGGAAACATGCTGCAGGCATGAGCCCGGCTCTGCCTGGGGCTGGGAAGAGCTCATCCACACTTTCCTCCTTGGTGGGTCCCGGGGAGCGACTCTTCCCAACACTGCTCCCACGTGGACAGAGGATGGAATTTGGGCGTGCTATTCTGCTAAGGTGGAGGCAAGAAAGGCCTTCTGGCCACAGCTCCACCTGGCTCTTTCCTCATCGGTCCTGAGCTGCTGCCGGTCTTTACTAGTTTTTTCACCATTACACATTTAAGTCTTTTCAGATCTTTATCTGTAGTCATTCCATGGGTTGTAGCAGGGGGAAGGCAAACACATCAGCTCAGCCCGCCAGCTTGACCCACGCCCTGTCTGATGCTGGCGGGGCAACTTGGGCGACAGGGAGCACAGTCCAGGGCAGAAACCTCACAGTGCCTGGCTGCCACTGAGGCTGCATGTGAGTGACTGCCACTTTTTAATGGAGTGTTATGGGTTAGATCAGAGTGTCTCTGTAAACCACATGCGCACAGTCAGGACCTCTGGCAGGTGTTTGTGTCATGGGCTTAGAGCCACGCAAAACTAAGGCTTCTAAAATGTGAGCCAAGCCGGGTGTGGTGGTGCATGCCTGTCATCCCAGCACTCGGGAGGCTGAGGCAGGAGGATCATCCTGAGTTTGAGACCAGCCTGGGCTACAAAGTGAGTTCAAGGCAGCCTGAACTGCATAGTGAGAACTTGTCTCACAAAGACAAAAAGAAGTAAATAAAATGTGAGCCAAAACAAAACGAAACAAAGCACCTTCCTCCTCCAGCTTGTGAGTCAGGTGTTACGTCTCCACCACAAGGACAGTGAAGGAGGCCAGAGGCCCTGGGAAAGTCACATTTTCTCAATCTGAGAGATGGGGTGAAAAAAGAGCCTCTCAAATGTCTTGAAGGAATCCTCGAGAGAGTGATGCCGAACCTTTCAGAGACCGAGTGCTGAACTGCAACCCCAAGCCTACTTATGGCGACCTACCAACCCAGCAACTGCACCCGAGTGTCCGGCTGCTGGGCTGATGCTGGGTGGTGACTCTCGTGCTGACAGAGGGCTCTGTGTGCATGCTGCAGCATATGTGCCATAGGTTCGCCACCACTGGACTAAATGGTGCCATGTGGAGGGCTAGCGTGATGCCAGCACAGGGCAAGCCCCATGAGTGGAGGTTTACTGTTGGCATTATTAATCAGCAAGAGCAACAAAGAAAATACCTACATGTCCATATTATACATTATTATATTGTATTACTTCTTGTGAGAACAGGGTGGAGCTCAGAAGCTATTGTGATACTTGTGTGACAAAGTTATGAGAAACAGAGCTGGATGTGCCCAGCACTTGGGAGGCTGAGGCAGGAGGGTTATCAGGAGTTTGAGACCAGCCTCGGCTACATAGTGAGACTCTGTCTCAAAAGAACAAACAAAAAAACTAAAAGAAAGATGGAAGGATAGAGCCAAGGAGGGCCATCCACCAGTCCTTTCTAAGGAACACCAGCATGGACATGCATGGAGAGGGTGGCCTGAAAAGGTTTATACTTGCCCCACACTGGGTATATGCCAACAGAAAAGTCTTGTTTTGTAGCAGATGTTTAAGCTTATAGTACAAGACAAAAGCACCATGGATGTTTGAGTGACCTTATTGGAGCTGGGAATCCTAGAAATGGGTGAGCTTGGCTCATAGCTTGGAAACCATGTGTGAAAGAAAGCCGCTGTCACATTGGAACTCGACGGTAATGCTGTGATGCGGAGAGGAGGGAACATGGGACCAGCCCTTGATGTTTCTATGCACAGGAAGACATCAAAAACGCCACACCTAGAGCTGGTGACGTGGTTTGGTGGCAGAGCCCTGGCCCGGCAGGGGCAGGCCCTGGGCTCAATCTCAGAACTGGAAAAAATAATTCCACATCTGCATTTTTGCTTCATCTAAAATTTCCCTTGAAGAGATAGGTAGACATTTAGCTTAATTTTTTAACAGTGGTGAGGCAGCCATTTGTCCCAACTGCAACTCCCAGGGCTGCACTTTACAGCGTGTCTGGGTGCTGCCTGGACCGGCTGCTGGCTTCCAGAAAATCAAAGCTGCACCTCTACCCTGGGCCACCAGGGGGTAGGGGGGAAGGACCCAGGTGGGCCACTAACTCTTCCCACAACCTTTCTAACTGGAGTTACCAGCTGAGCATTTTTTGCTTAAATCTTGAAGCTGGTACCCTCAGAGGAGCACTGAGCATCTCTGGTTCTAGCTCACCTAAGGCAGGTCCCCTGCTGCTCAGAGCTTGAGTGTTAGAGACCACTAAATACCCTCTGTGTTGAAGGTAGGCACACTTGGGTTTCTATCACTCAGAAATGAAAGCCCACGTTTATTACATATTAAATTTATAAACATTGAGTCTTTGCCTCCACTGGTTACCATTGATCTACTTTTCTATTCTTTTCTAGAACTGTTTCAGTTTCTTTACATTTGACATATTTCAGGGCTAATCCCATTAGTCAATATCTGTCACCGTGACTGAATTTAAAAAGGAAGAGGATTAACTGGCTCACGGTTTTGGTCTTAGAGCATGCCTGCTTTGGGCCTGTGGCAGGAAAGACCATCATGGATAGTGCATGGTGGAGAGGCTCACCCCATGGCACCCCGAAAGCAGAGAGCAGAGAGGTGGGGTTCAATGTGTACTTCAAGGCCACGCCCCCAATGACCTACCTTCCTCCCACCAGGCAGGAGGATCATTGTTAGAGACCAGTCTGGGCTACATAGTGAGTTCAAGGCTAGTTCACCCCTGTCTCAGAAAACAAAACAAAAGTCCCCAGATAATGTTCTGGGGATTTCACTGGGATGAGAAATGAAAGATATGGGAATACAGCTCAGTGGTAGCATGAATGAGGTTCTGGATTTACTGCCTATGGCCAGAAAAAAATGTGTAGGAGACTAATGAAGGCTATGGTCACAAAGGTAGGTTAAGTTATGTTGAGAAAGCTGGGATTCGTTTTGTGGTGGACATTACAGAGACATAATGTGTAAGTACTGAAGAAGAGGGATCATTAGCGGGCAGGTGACTGCAATTATGAGTGAGAAGTATATTCAGACTTCCTCCATGTGCCAGGTGTGGTGGCGCATGCCTGGAATCCCGGCACTCAGGAGCCAAGGCGGGAGGATCGCCATGAGCGTGAGGCCAGCCCCGGCTACACAGTGAGACCCCGTCTCACAAACAGTAACAACAACAAAAAACACCATCCATAGTCCTTAGTGTATAATTAAAATATATTTTTCCATTTACAGAGGGTAGGGAATCTTTAATAAAACATATGCAATAAATAGACTCACTGGAACTTAAAACTGCATCAAGTTGCTTCAGGCCTTTGGGCTGGAGAGGCCACGACGCTGGGGACGTCGGCGGGTACCCTCAGCAGCTCCTCCACCTCCTCTCGCAGAGCTTCTGCCTTCTCCTGCAGCAGCATCTGCAGCAAAAACCAAGGCGTGAGGCCGGGGTGGACATGCTGTCCGTGAGAAACCCGGCCCCCGCACCAACGATCCAGACGTTGAAAGTAAAGGCCAGGCTAGGAAGGGGCACTCAGGACGGGGATGGAAGTGAGGGAAGGGGACAGGCTCAACTCGGACCAGTTTTGGCTGAGCCGCGCACTCAGTGTACCAAAAACAAAGCAGCTTCACTTTACTGACGTCCTGACCACTGAAAAGTTAATTTTTAATCTACACAACCTCAGACAAGCTTGCAAACATTTAATTCCTAAAAAGCTTATCCTACATACATATTCATTTTATTATTCCATAGAATTCAGTATGCTTTTAACAATGCTTCAGTATTTCAAAGCGAAGTTTTACTTAAGCACTTCAAGTGAATATTGCTAATTTCCAAAGCAACATAATGAGCAAGCAAGTATTTCTAAACACATATAGAAGATTTCAATAAGTATTTGCTGAATAATGCTTTTTCCCTTTCTTCTAAAAATCAGAAATAAAGTACTGGCATTAATGCAGCTGGGGCTTGTGTATGTGGAAATATTTGTAGTACTTCTGTTACAAAGTTTTATAATAAAAAAGGTTAGTGAAATCATATAAAGGGGAGCCAGGCCCGGTGTGCACACCTGTCATCCTGGCCCTTGGCAGGAGGACTGTGGCAAATTCGAGACCGGCCTGAGATACACAACGAGGTCCAGGCCAGTCTGCACTACAAAGCGAGACCCTGTCTCAAAAATCATACAAAGGAGGACATCATCTGAAACAAAAACGCTGCCAATTTTATAAAGGACAGATTATGCCGAATTATTTAAAAGTGATAAAAATGCCATGCATAGTGGCACACACCTGTAATCCCAGCACTCGGGAGGCTGATGCAGGAGGATTGGCAGTAGTTCGTGGCCAACCTGGGCTACATAAGCAAGTTCAAGGCCTGACTGCCTGCACTACATAAGGTCTCACCACCTCCACACACAAAGGGATAAAAATGCATTAGCAAGCTTTCCAGTAGCTGCAGTAATGGCAACCCTGAGAACCAATCTCCCCAGCGACCGACCAGCAAGCACACAGCTCCCTCCAGCCAGCACCACGAGGAAGCAGAACACCATCAGCCTCCTGCATGTCTAGTTTTCAGAAAATCCACCAACTTCCAGCACAGCCATTTTGAGCTCCTACTGCAGGGAGTGGTGGAGATCAAGTGGGGCAGAGGGAAAAACACAGCCGAACAACACAGCAGGAAGCATGGGCCGGGCCTTGAGGAGACAGGAGGTGTTCCGGGGGCAAAAAGGAGAGCGGGGAGGCAGTCAGGAACGGAGCAACGAGTGACAGGGACAAAAGGAGGGTCCTGTAGGTCAACGGGAAATAAAAGCCCCAAGGACGCAAACCCTGTGCACCTGCTGTGTGCTGTACCACAGACCAGAGGCAAAGCGGCAGGGACAAGTGTCTCGCAGGCCTCAGACAACTCTGAGACACGGGTGGGCTGGTGGGCACTCTGCAGAAGACGGCAAAATCTAGCGGCAGAACACTAAGCCCGCGGAGAGTGGGCCAGATGTCAGGGCGCTCAGGCGAGAGGAAGGAAAAGCCACAATTTTCAGCTCATTAAGATCTGTAACTGCACCGCTGGCTTGGCAGTGACCTCACGGCTCCTCTGCTCCACTCCTAGCTGTCCCCATGGCCCTCTGGACAGCCAGGAGGGACAGCGGGCGGCTCCCTCTGCTCCTGCAGGGCTGGGGCCTGGGGACACGCTGCACTCTCCAGAAGCTCCTCCAAGTTCCATGGAGTGTGAGCAGGCACCAGCCAGGGCCCCCATGGTCCTGGCAGTGCTCTGTGGGCAGCCGCTCCTGCCGGCCTGGTACACAGCACCCAGCTCACTTCCTGGGGCCACACGGGCTACAGGACACCCTTGCCACTGAAGTCGGAGTCCATCTGCACTGGCGGGTGGGCTGCGGTAGCCTGGGGGGAGTACTCCCCCTCGCCGTACTTGCTAAGGCTGTGCTGCTGCTTCTGAGCCAGCCTGTTAAAACCAGGTCCTCATCTTTGCACTAGACTTTCCTGTTCAAATTTCTGTGTGCACTGGGCACAGTGGCACAGATCCGTAATCCCAGCACGCTGGGAGGCTGAGGCAGGAGGATCACAAGTTCTAGCCAAGCCCTGGCAATTTTGCAGAGACCCTGTCTCAAAATGAGTAAATATCTAGAAAGTGCTAAATATGCAGCTCAGTGTGAGGGTCCCGGGCCCCGGGCACAGCCCAAGAGGGATGAGGAGCAGTCAATGCACCCAGGGCCCCATCTTCAGGGCCTCCCCCTGGGGCCACCTGAGGCCGCCTGACTGCTGCAGGACCTGCCAATACTGCACTATCGATCACTGACTAAAGGCAGGCACAGGAGCTCAAGTAATGTAAATGGATAAATACCTAAATGAAGGAGAAGCTTTTCCTGAGCGCACACGGCACACACAGATTAGGAGGAGTAATGAAACCTGACCATCACCACTTGACAGACACCCCGGAAATAGCTGAGTTACACAAACATCAACAGGAAACGCCAGCATGGGCGTGCGGGGCTTTAAGAAAGAACTGGAGACCCACCATCACCCCCAAAGTATCCTCTCTCCAAATATTAATTATAGAGAGAAAAGGAATGATTTTACAGTGAAGAAACTTAGCGACGGAACTTCAACCAAATGATCCAAGTCAGTATCAGTAATGGGACAAAACGTGGCACTCCTGCCCCCAAACACCGCACAGCCTTAATATGATCACAATGGGTTTCCTTTTTTCCATTTTCGGGCACTAACTTACAATCTTTAGCCCCTCTGTACTCGAAACCTGCAGGGACTGCCCGTCGGACTGTTCCGCTCTCATCAGTCCGGGTTCGCAGCGCGGAACACTGACGTCCCTTGTGTGGAGGTGGTACACGCACGGAGCTCATCTCAATTCTCGTTCATCCCCTTCTCCCATCTCTCAGCCCCTTCCCACGTGAGAAAGACCCAGCTCCCTACTTCCTATTATTACCTTTTATGTTGCTCTTTATCTATGCATTGAGTTTCTCGCATAAGAGAAGCCACGTGCTATTACGCTGTGTGTCTGACTGACTTCACTTAGCGGCATGGTCTCAAGGTGCCTCCAACTACGCGTTTAAGCTGTACACAATGTGGAAGAGAAGTTGAGGACCAAAGCGGGTGATTTCTGAGGAGCGGAGGCGCCATGACACAGGAGCACCGGCCCCTGGACAGACCGTGGGCTCTGCACCCGCTGTGACCTGCTCTGCCGCACTTGCCGGACGTCACTTATTTCGTCCATTGTGCCTGCAGCTCCGTTCACACCCCTGATAATACGCAGTCGGCCTTCACTGTCCCGGCTCTCAGCACTGTCCCCTGTGTAAAGCACGTCATCAGATCTCACTCATTCACTTACTCTCCTGTTTATGAAACACATTCTATATGCTGGGTACTGTGCTACGTGTTATAGAAATGGAACTGTTACTTTGTTCCTATAACCCACGACCTCCTAATATAACGAAGTCCACCTCAGTGGTCACGTGTATAAACTAGGGAAGACACACACACTGCCCTCCCCACAGGACTGTTGAGATCAATTACAAGGTGTGATTAAAATATACAGTGAAAGTTTAAGTTAAAAATTATTATACTAAGGCACCTTGCTGTGAATCCCCCTCCAAATGGTCCCCCTCACTTCAAACATCCTTAGTCCTCATTCTTGCACTGTCTGAAGCAGCTCTGGCAGTGCTCTTTCCTGAGCGTCTTTATGGGGTATGATCAGAATTACAGCGGGGGCTGCTGCCGGCAGGCTTGTGAGAACACGGCAGCGTGTCCTCATCCACCTTATTCACCGCACTGGCTCTTTCCCAAAGTCAAAACAACCACAAAGGGAAAACATTTTGAATCGATTTAGGACATCAAGGGAGCCAGGACAGTGTAGCTGAAGACACTCAGGAAAGAGGACTCTAGATCTGCTTCATGAAGTAGCAAGAAGGATGGGATGGTGTGTCTGAAGTGAGGAGTATTTTGAGGGGAATTAATGGCAGAGTCTTTACTGCAATGCTTTTTTTAAAAAATGAAATTAAGTATTAAGCATATTTTTCGATAACATCTTGTAAGGTAATTTACACCATGCGAGCACCACTCAAAGAAAGTTGGGTGAAAATGTATTTTGAAACACCAGGCGTGGTGGCGCACGCCTGTAATCCCAGCACTTGGGAGGCTGAGGCAGGAGGATCATTGTGAGTTCGAAACCACCCTGGGTTACAAAGTGAGCTCAAGGCCAGCCTGAACTGCATAGTGAGACCCTGTTTCAAAAAGACAAAAAAAAAAAAAAAAAAAGTATTTTCAATTTTGCTTTATACACAATACTGTAACAATAAAGTTCAAAAGAAAGTAAGCCATTCCAGATTTAGAACTATAGTTGAAACTACGAAGATAGTCCCAATCTGTGGGATGGTTTTCCCACATGGGGCAGAAGGGCAGTGACAGTCTGGGTTGCACCTAGCAGACGACCATAAGCGACCTAGAACTACATTATTCTACACAGAGGAGAGGGTCAGCAAGGACCGCACCTGTGGGAAACTACCATGAGAACGGGAACGGGAGGGCAAAGCAGCTCCACAGGGTGGTGCTCTGACTTGGTGTAGCGATCTCGGAGGCAAGGCTGAGCCTCGGTGTCTTGGGATAAGCTCTGTGCTACTCAGACCAGCACGAAGCAGAAGCCCTGACTATGGAGGGTACGAGCTCCTCGTCAGTGTGGGTGCAAGCGGACAGGAAGACCAGACGTCAGGGTGCTGAGGGAAGGGCTTCTGGGAGGAGGGCAAGCACTTTATGGTTCTGTGGACTTCAACAAATCCCTGAAACTGTCTGTCTTTGTCTTGTTTTCATTTTTTTGGTGGTTCTGGGAACTGACCTGGGACCTCATGCTTGCTCTGCTACTGAGCACCATTCAAAGAAAGTTACATTCCCAGTGCTTTTTCAATTTATATTTTGAGACAGGGTATTGCTAAGTTGCCTAGGCTGGCTCGAACTTGCAATCCTCCTGCCTCAGCCTCCCAACGAGGTGGGATTAGCTTGTGTCACCATACTTGCCTTGCCTTTACTCTTTTAAGAGGTCTTTTCCTCTTCTCAGCACATAAAGTATTTGTACCTACAAATTCTGAGTGTGTACGGTTGTCCCTTGCTATACTGCAGTTCATTTATTGCAGCTTTACTGCATTTCAGTTTTTTTAAAAAAATGTATCTAATTCTGTATCATGGAGTTTTTGCTATATCTTGGGATTGTGCAGCATATAGGTATTTATATAATATTTATGATTCTAATTCTTTTGCCTAAAAAAATTAAAATATAAAAAATGTTTCAAACATATTGAACATATTACATCAGAATAAAATATTGTACAGTATGTATTTCATCAGCAGATGAATACTTTCTGTAAAATTAAAATATAAAAAATAATTCAAACATATTGA